TTGAAAAAAACAGGTGAAGGGTTCGTATTTTAGTGACTGGAAGAGAGGGAGAAAAAGGGTTTTCCGCGGTATTGGGCACACGAGTGCACGCCAATATTGGACGTTAGCGTGTATGCAATATATATACGTGTAAAACGTCCTCTTTGAGTGGGGAGAACTAACTTTTTTTATTACAAAAATGGAGAGGGTGTCCTTTGATGTGATGTGATGCTGCACAGCATAAAAGGCCGTGGCTCTCTCTGTTATATATTGAAGTTAATAGATTACACGCCGTCGACCCAGGACCCAGCCACGGTGTTTAAAAGTCGTAATAAAAATTCTTCGAGTGCCGTTCGTGCCGCCACCACCCTATTCTTCAATATCGTCGTCGTGTGACCCTCTTATATTATTCTCGTCATCCGCGATTATATAATATGTATTGTACGCGTTGTTTCTGCACTACCCTCTGAGGGCAGTCACCACGTATTTATTTGAAATATTTATCGTTATGTCAAATTAGATATTGTAGCTAAACTAATAATAGTATAAAATAAGTAATGTATTCAATATTTCTGCCTATATATTCGAATATTCCAATATATTTAAATMAAAATTCGTTTTCCTTACTAACCATCGGTGTTCTATTATTCTAATACTTAATTTTATAGGTACCTATTATGCGATTAAGCTTAGCACTTCCAAGGGCACCCACATATATATTATAAACTATGAGTAAGCCATATAAAAAATCTCTAATAACACATATAACACATCACATAATATTTTTTTGTTTTTCAAATGTGATAAAATAATTTTAATTAAAATATCGGTGGGAATTATGCCCCCCCCTTGGCTTCCCGCTGCGGAAACTTGTATACTTTACAACCGATTTTAAATAACTATAGTCTTTATAGTTTAATATAGTAATATATAGTAATATATATTAAAGTATAATTAATTATGAAACTGAGGAATATTAATCAGATTTTGCCTATAAATACCGTATATTATAATAAAGATATGGATCGAACATTGTCCTATCTGCGGTAATTAAACAATTAAAGGGTATRGGTATACAATTGACAAATAAGTTATAAGTATATCCTGTACAATGTATAGAGATCTTTTCAATATTGTGAGTATATCTATTATCTATATCGAATGTCGACTATCAATACAAAAGCATTGATAAAAGGTCCTCAATTGCCTTCCCCTCAGGGAACGCGGCCTCAAATATACTTGACATAGTCGTGRCTCGTGCCAGTCGTGGCCTATATTCATATCTTTAAAATCCATGATAGATACAACACACTACAGAGAGGAAGATAATATTTTAACTGTACCTACCTATTGTTTTACTATATAGTTTTTATAGTGCTTTTATATTTGTTCTACCTGCGTGTGCTTACATATTCAAAATTTTAAAAACAATACTCGTATAGGTAATATGGATAATTCACGGTTTATGAACGCATCATGTAATACCTACACAATGCAAGTAACGTAAATAATAAATAACAAGGTAACTTTTTATAATTTATAAGTTTCATTTTGACTTTACTTTAGTGTGCTAATTTTTTTACCATAAAAACCCTTATAGTTTTCTTTTAATGATAAAAACTTTAATTAGTTTCCACCCAATTATCTTCCACCAATTGAATTATTGCTTTTTAAAAGTTGAAAAAAAAATTCTTTAAAATTAAACCCTCTTATACTAACGTACTCATTTATCAACATCATGTATMGTGCAGATAATTAGTAGGAGTTAGAACTTATAAATACATTGTTAAATCTATTGAACATGATTAATAACTAATAAGTATTAATGGCCAATTTAATTATTTATTCCC